ATGCTGATGCCTTGAGTCGCCTGCTGTTACTGAGTAAACTACACAGTGCCAAAGCAGGAAATCTGCCAGAGTATGTCCTGTACTTGAAATGCTTGGAAAAGGAATGGTTAGTGTCAGATGTACATTTTAGGGAAAAATAGATCCTTTGCTGCAGCGAGTGAAATTCTGGATTAAGACAGGCTGGCTGAAATTTTTGCGTGAAGAGCTGAGCCGCTTGCGGCCGTACTTCAGCGAGAAGCCTGAGTGGATACCAGGTAGCTGAAAAGTAGATACTAGGTATCGTTCATGATACCTAGTATCATGGTCGCAGTGGACACAAGCGCATAGTTGCAGTGGACACGACTCGAGGAACGAATTGGCAGCATTTAGACCAAGTGCGACGGCGAGACGTTCCACTTAGTACCAAAACTTGGTCTACTGGGGACACTGTATCATGCTTCCCATGGCTCTAAACCGATGTATATTGGGCTTTCTTCATGTAACGCACCCATGTATGGCGACCATGAGGAACATGCAAGATTCCTGTTTTGGTTCCCGGGTGTGGACAGTGAGATCGAGCAATTGGTGCGTGGATGTTCTGCTTGTGTACAGGTTGCGGTGATGCCTCCAGCACCAACACCTGTACCATGGCCCACGATGGGAGAGAAATGGAGCTGGTTGCACGCCAACTAGGCAGGTCCTATTGAAGGATACATGCTATTGGCATTTTTGGATTCCAAAAATGTCAGTGGGGAGAAACCTGCACCAACTGGAAATTACTGTGGCATTGCTGTGCCACAAGGTGGTTTGGGAACCTAAAGTAATGTTGACAGCACGCATATGAGCCACCATTATGTCATGGTTGACATCTTGTACACTTGCGCTGCTGCGTTTCTGTACAGTTGCGCAGTTGCAAGAATATAAAATAGGTCGAATAATTAATCCCACTTTTGCGCAATTGTGGCGGTGACTTTTCTGGTAAGCACTGGCAAAGAACGAAGACGATGTGGCAAACACCAAAAAGCTCACCAGTATGACATTTGCCTTCGTGTGTGGGGAATTGCTGCCTTAACCCTACTGCACGCTCAGACTAGCTAGCGCGCAGGGGCGCCGATCGTTGCCGCCTCGAGCGTTGCCGCCTCGAGCGTTGGGGGGGGGGGGTAAAGGTTTGTTGCAGCGCCCCTCCCAATCGTATCACTGTATAAGGCTGAGCTTGTGCCCCCCTTTCTCGCCCCCCTCCTTATTATGTCAATGTAAGGGACTGGCTTGGTGCCTCCTCCCTGCCTCCCTGCGCGTACACCTTTGTAAGGCAGTGTGAGCGTGCGCTGCTAGAACTTCATGCTGCAGCTAAGAACCAAGTCAGACACTTGACTACAGCACACCCTGTCATACCCAATAAAATGTTTTAGCGGAGTGAGTTGTAAGAACGTTGAAGGCAGGCTGAAAGAAAAAATGATGAAATTCCACTACAATCTCGAATATTGAGACTTGTGTTTCGTTACCACTGCACCCCAGTCAAGGAGGACAAACCTCCAACGGAGCTTCTGCTGGGGTATCAAATACGAACGAAACTCGTGCATTATTCCGGCCATTGAGGCTGTTGGAGAAAAGCCGTGCTACAAACAAGAAGAGCGATGGCCGTTCGGATGGCGTGTTTGGGCTCGAACGTTCCGGCAATGGGAAAAGTGGATACCAGATATCATGCGTGATTAGCCGGAAAAGTGCATAGTCACAGTGCACACGAGTCGGGGAACGGAACAGCGGCATTTCGACAGCGGTTTTTTCTTTTCTTCAAATGCGCAGCTTTTTCAGTGTGATTGCGCGCGCACGCGTGGACAAGTCGCGGCCTCTTGCGGCGATCTCTGTAATGTTCGAACCAGCCAATGGCTGATAGATGGGTTTTCTACGAGTGATTTTTGAGCATCGTCCGTCATTTGTCGAGAGAAGAGAAAGCAATTTTTAGCCGACTTAGATAATTTATTGTGCATTCCAGGTTGCGTGCTGTGCTATAATATTTGGCTTGCGCGTTGTTGGGAGCCTTTACTACTGATAGGGAACGTTTTCTGACCTTGCTCAAAAAGTGTTGCAGGGACCCTTAAGAAGTTATTCAACCTAATGGTGCTCTGCATGACTACTGTATATATAAACACTTATGCAACTTTCAAGTAAATGAAGTTGAAGCGCTTGGTCCGGTAAATTCGTTGATTAATTTTTGTGTACACAATCAATGTAGTTGCCTGGCCTATCTGAAAACGGGTGTTTCTATTTGGGTGTTCCAGTTTAACCAAATGGCTCAGTTGGGTATTCAATTTTCCAATTGGAAGTGAGCTTTCAACTGAGATTCCAATTAGTTCAAGTGATAGCATTTAGTAATTTCAGTTGGTTCTAATGGTGATCCAAGTGGTTAGTGATCCCATGTGGCCCAATCACAAGTTAGCGCATCATCTTGAACCATTTGGAAATTTCAAATGATCCTGTGGGGGATACCATTGGCCCGATTGGAAATCTTTATTTACCATTTAGACCCATTGATATTTCCAAATGGTTTCAATTGGCTTTTTCAACTGGGGAGTGTTTGGTGCATTATGTTTTGTCAGCAGTCGCAAGAAATCAGCCTGATGGCATATTCATAACCTAGCTCAATTTTCCCCTTTAGCTATTGATGGATTTAATCAGCAGAAGGCATTCTCGTATAAAGGTTTCTGTGTTAAAAACACTGCATTGTAGGGTATGTGTGAACATTTAAAGGCACAGGGTAAGCCTTGTACCTGCCTTAACTTTAGGCAAATTTATGTACCTTTTTCTCCATAACCTCAAGAGGTATAGTAATTATTTTACTACCATTGTGATCATGAGCCATTCCTTTTAACTGAAGCAGATTTAGCTTTGAAAAGCTTAATGCTAATTTTTTGTATTTTTTTACTTCAGGTAGCTAATTATCACTCGATTATAGACATTAGATGTCGTGTTGCAGAAAAGCACTTTCTCACACGGCTATAATTCTTCACTATATTCCCCATTATGTTATCTAAATACAGGCCAAAAACTGATTTTAGATACTGTAGGTGCTGAGAAAATGAAACATAAGCCAAAAAAATGCTTGGTTTAAGATAACTGCATTTAAAGTTGAAAATCTGGAATACTTCAAAAGTACAAGATAACAGAAAATTGATGGACCCGTTCAATAGGCACCAGCCAGATACCCATCACCGATGTCATTTTTTTTCATTTTGTGTTGATACGTCTTGCCTGGCGAGCCTCTTTGGTCGCCTGCTATTCAGGCCTGTCAGCAAAGTACAGCCAACGCAGTTCAAGGTTGTGTAGGCCCTGCACTCTGCAGTGTCCTGGCGAAATTACAAAGCAGTTCAGTTCATTCACACGGGCTATATTGCATCATTAAAAGTGAACTGAGCGTCAAGAGTGTATATTTACAGTGTTTGGTGCCTGAAGAAAATATTTTTTTGGAACGAGCTCTCGCGCATGACCCATGGAAGCATTTAGCAAGTAATTCTGGATGAGCCGGTTCGACAATATGGCTTGACAGTCTCAATAACAGATGCTCGAAGCTGTTCTTAGGTGAATGAATGATCCATTATTCAACCGGGCTTTGTTGAATTCACACCAAGTTTCGGCGTCTTTCAAGCAAAGGTTGTGGGATTGATTGGGATGCTTTGATGTCATGTGAACCTACGTGGACCGGGCAGCTTTTCACCCATCCTCAAAGCTGGCTCTATTTCTTTTAATGGCCCACATTAATAGTTTTCGGTGCTTCCCAATGATGCCACCACTAAGAAGTCCCCGAGCAGATATATATTTTCCGACAGAAAGCTTGGTGTTTCTGCTTTGTCTCATTTAGCTGGTCTGGGCCCATGCTTTTCTGAATGTGCCAAATGAACTCCAGTGTGCAAACTGCAACTTCTGCATACGGCTATGAGGCTTGAACTGCAAGGACTTCCTGCCCCGCCGTGGTGGTCTAGTGGCTAAGGTACTCGGCTGCTGACCCGCAGGTCGCGGGTTCAAATCCCGGCTGCGACGACTGCATTTCCGATGGAGGCGGAAATGTTGTAGGCCCGTGTGCTCAGATTTGGGTGCACGTTAAAGAACCCCAGGTGGTCGAAATTTCCGGAGCCCTCCACTACGGCGCTCATAATCATATGGTGGTTTTGGGACGTTAAATCCCACATATCTATCTAGCAAGGACTCCTTTGCTATCCGAGTATGGGGGCACAGCAGGCCGCCACACAAGTTCTGAAATATGCCATTTCAGAGAGAAAAAAAAAAAATCCTGAGACAAACGACTGATTCTAGTTCAGAAGAGGCTGCAGATTCGAAATAGTGCAAAAAGAATTTTTTTTTTCCAATATTTTTGCTTACTCTGTCTCCTTAAGATACGGAGATCTGTGCGTAGCGAGCCGTGATTCTGCTAGTGCAGCCAGGCCTTCACTTGTGGGACGGCCGTGGTCAAACCATGGCACTTGATTCAAAGCCGACCCCTCTCCTCTCCACCCATGTTGGTCCATTTTTTTTTTTTTTCAAAAAACAAATATGATGTTATAATCGGCTAAATAAAAAGGTTCTCCCAGCAACTTTTACATCGCTTCCAACTCTGTTTTACACTTCACAGGATTTCTGATATGATAGTCTGCTGCTGCCACCTCTATAAGAGACAGACAGCTCATTGGATGGCAAGAAAACCACCAAAACTGTTGCCTTTCAGGCTTCGCTTGAACATTGGAAGCAACAAAAAGTTTTCCGGGATGGCATCAGGGCTGCAATATCTCGAACTCCCTAAGGACATTGAAACATGAATCAACTGTAGGTTTGTGGCTCACAGTACTAAATTTTAATCATCCAAAACAGGAGTAGGAAGGAAAATTTGTCTGAAGAACAAAATGCAAGGTAAACTCCAACAACTAATAAGAACAAAGTACAAAGCTGATATGATCACTAGTTTTCAGTGCTCTTCGCTATGTGCATCTTTGCTGCACGTGGAAAAGTAAAAGCTGTGCTCTCTCATGCAGGCGCATCAGGACAAAGACATGAAGCAGTGTCCCTTCTCAGCTGAGCACGTGGTGCCCGCTAGTCAGCTCATGCACCACATCTATACGTGTCCACTGAACACAACCGTGGAGCGCTTCCTCACAGGTAACTCATCACTTCATGTGCAAGAGCACATTAGTGGCTTATATCCTTGCTATTATATCACTTATAATTACTGTAGCACATTGCAAGGGAACACTCAAAACGCATTGGCCGGATGGCGAAATCTAAACTTCTGAAATCTACCAATGTGCGTTGCAGCACGGACGCAGAGAACGAGGGGAACAATTGACGCAACAGGCTTTCGCACGCGTCCGATGCAAAAAGTCGTTCGTGCTGTAACGCGAGCGAGCATTCTCGTCATTATCGCGGTGGTAGAGATGGTTAGGGGGAGGAAACGCTCGAGCAGTTCCGGCGACCCATCAACAGGTTTGTGTTCAGGTGCGGTATTCTGGGGACCCAGGAAGTCCTCGGAAGAAGAGACTTCGCACTCGCAGCCTGCTTGACTGCGCTCGTCTGCTACGCGATGCACACATCCGGCCGAAGCATCAAAATGTCCAAAAGTGCGCGTGCCAGTAAGCTGGCTCGGGCGGGTCGGGGAGTGTGAAATATGCGAGTTTTTTTTTTTTTCGAAAAGCTGGCAAAATATTAGAGGTGTGCAAATTATGCGAGGGTGCAAATTATGCTTGTAAATACGATATGTGTAACTTCTCGTATGGTAAAAGCACTGGTTAGTTTGCCTCTATGGTGAAGCGATGGCTGCTAGTCTGAAGGTCCCAGGTGTGATCCCGATAGTGCCAGTCTCATTTCGATAGTGAAATGCTAGTTCACATCAAACAACACCAAGTGGTCCGAAATTCTAGAGCACTTCACCATGGTGTGCCTCGTAATGCGTGTTTTAGAACGTAAAACATCTTGGTAGAGCTCATTAAAAACTAATGATATATTTCCGAAAAACTTTCCGATAAAATTGACTATTCTGATCCAGTAAAAATTCAAGCTTTCGATCTTCGAACTTCTGGTTTTTCGCTTGCAGCCAGGTAGTATCGATCCTGTCAGAAAATATCATATTTAAATCCCTAGACAACCCCAAAATTGGGAAATCGAACGCTGGGACCACCAGCGTAATGTTAAATGCTATTGCTGTGGTGGCAGACCAAACTTGCGTCATGTGAGTGCCGTTTCTTTCTGCTTTGCCGCTTGGAAATATAGGGCTAGATTTGTCTAATAAAATAAGCGCTAACGGGGTCAACCTTGGAAGGAGATATGTTACCACGTTGCGCGCGCTGAGAAGTGACCATATAGTTCGTTTATTTTCATCATGCCGCACATGCGAGCCCCGAAAAGAAAGCGAAGTCGAAGGACCATTGTAATGTGCCACAATTCGTGGTATCAGGGTGTAAAGATGGCAACGTATCGTTCTATCACTTCCCAAAGAATGCAAACGACGCGTGATGGTACAAATCGGAAACCTAGGCATTGGAAAGAAGGTGTGGACACTATCGTAGATTGTTCTAATTAATTTGCTCATGACTCCTTCATTTTCCTCGGTGAGTATGCAATCATTTAGCGGGTGTATATTTTTATCAATATTCGGGCTTTTCTAAGCGCGAAGTATAGTTTCAGTTATATAAGCTAGTGCTTTAGTACATTGTTGTGTTACGTGTAACAATATTTCTTGCATATACGTGTTTTTTGCACAAGTCAGTGCTACCCATTACCAAATTATGCTGCTACAATTCTTCCCCTTGAACATTTTCGATTTCGAATGTGTGCATGTAAACGCATGCACAAGGGTCGTGCGTAGGGCGCATGTATGTATGTTAGTGCGTGCATTTAATCCGTACATTCGAAGCTTGTGGGCACATATCCGCTTTGAATATCATCTACTGTCAACACGAACAAGCGAGAGCGGAAGCACACAATCGTATTCTTCAGAAACTTAATAACATGGATTGCGAACGAAAAGAAAGGAGCACTGCTATTACAATCAAAACTACGATTTGCCTTATCTCAAGGTGCACTGGCCCAGGCATCTCTGTCCTGTAATAATGTGAAGGACATGCGTATTCAGCTTTTGACGGGACAGCGGTACTCAACAGAATAAATGCAATTGGCAGCATGAGTAGCAGCGAGAAGTTACCTCAAATACTGTTAAGCCCTCGAATGTAGTACTGTAGCAACGCAGCGCAAAAGTGCTAGCACCTTTCCGAGAGGCCCGCTACACATGAACAGTTGCCTTTTCTTTCCTTGAGCTCGCTAGACAGGCTCTTCAACTTGAAGTAAATCTGATCTGGTTCTCCAAAGAGGCTCGATGTTTGCGTGCACAGTGCCATGGTTTCCGCTATTTGGCGAGTAAAATCTTTTATGCCGATGAGAATGAGGCGGTCCGCTGCCAGCTACCTTGCAAAGCAACGTGATCCAACGCCACAATCAAGCAACTTCAGCTCAGCGCGATGCAAAAGTGTTGTGCTGACCCTGTTAGGTTCAGCCATCTCTGTTTTGCCGATGAGTGTTGCCAACACATGGAGCGTTTTCTGTAGTTGCAACTACTAGGTGTATGGCAAGTGAAAGTGAAGTTGCCAAACACCCACATAGTGATTCATGGAGTCTGCAGGAAAGTGGCACGTTTTGGCAGTCTGCAGGAAAGTGGCACGTTTTGGCGTCTGTCAACCAGAAACCAACCAAATAGCTTCCGGAACACGTTTTTTTCTGCCAGGTTCAGGTAACCTGCTGCTAGGCAGATTTGTCCACCCAAAGAAAAACTAATGCAGTTGGAAGTGTGAGGGGTGAAGCATTACGAAAATGAATGTGCTCCAGGAGAAAAACATGAAGGAAAGGTATTTTGGCCCATGTCTGTTGGGTGCAAGGGTGGCGTTATGGTCATGTCTTGGTGCGTGTTGCGCAGTGGCAATGACATGGTGGCAGCTGCATATGCATTTTTGTAAATCTTGTACCATACAGTGGCGAACTGGAGGAGCCTTTATTTTTTGTGCCGCACTCTGGGGTTGAACAGCCGCACCATTTGCGCCATAGTGGGCCAAACATATTTACCTGCACCACCGTTTGCCAAACCGCCTCAGTTGCGCCAAAGTAGTTTATCAGAGCTGCACTTTCCGTAGCATCCTAATTTAGTCGCAAGATGCAATAGCCATCAATACTTGGGCTCGAAAATGTGGCTGAAACATTGTTTCCAGTTTCATTGAAATCTTTATAATTTCGATTTCGTCATAGCAGTAATTGCTAGAGCAGTAACTGTTAACTTTGATTGTAAGGGGTCGGTCGGGATTGCTGGAGTGCGCGCTAACTAGGCAGGCATCGGTGCATATGGCTTGTAAGTCCTTCTAATTGCTGCGCTCTCAATGCTAAGAGACTGTACGAAAACAGCATCTCTTTCTGGCATTCTCTTACACCAGCATTCTGTAGAGTTACGTGCCATAATTACTTGGTATGACATTACTGTGATATTGTGATAACTTGTTGGCAGCCTTCACAAATGCAAAAAAAAAAAAGACCAACAGTGCTAAAAAAAAAAAACCGATGGTGTCTGGCTCCTAGAATAATAGCCTTTCAAAAAGCGAGCACAGGACTGCTCATCGAGTGCTTGCCTGCATTCTAGGTCGTTTCGCCGTTGTGCTCCATTATACTATTGGGCGCAAGGACATACTGTGGCGCCACCATGCGGAGGCATCCGCGTGACATACGTGGTTGGATTGCTCTGCCGCCTCCTCGCGCGCAGCCGCTTTGCAGTCTTATTTGATTATTATTATTATTGTACTTCACTCAACGAAATCAGTAAAATACTGCAGCAGCTTCTTCCCTGACTGTACAAAGTGATAAATAACTGCCTTAGCAGTCAGGCGTTGCTTCTCACAATGCCTGACTGCCGGCACTGTCTGCTATGGCCACCTCAATGAAACAACCCGGGGGCCCAGCATGCAGCGTCTGTTAAAGCTAAAGACTCATTCTTTGTTGAATTGAAGCATCAAATGGTTATTAACAGTAAAGAAACTTATCTTAGCTGCAAGAAATGCGGGGAGCTACGCTACTTTATTCATTGTAGGTTTGCATTGAAGACTGGCCGTGGTAGACATGACAAGCATGCGCAAATTATGTTTATGTTTAGCCCATAACCCTGCGAATCACATCACAAGCGCATTGCCCGCTTTGTGGGAAGCAACACAGAATTCTTACAGCCGCATGCAGCCGCAACCTTTCCATTTTGATGTGGGAAAACGTGAGATTCACGCATGCGCATGCCTCATTCAGAGTTGTAACTTCTCTCTGCGGCACACTCCTAATATTTATTGCGTGAAATTTCTACGGTGGTCACATGTTGCACATTCGATCGCCATCCAGCCGCACATGGGTGAAAATTATGATTGGTTCAGTACCAGAGCTTCTACAAGGGTAAATCATGATTATGAAAATACGATTGGCCAGCCGTATCATTTTACGCCCTTGAGCTTGATGCGAGGTCTTGCGCACTGTGATATAAACGGCAATTTCATATTTCAATAACATTGCCTGTGTCCAGTTTTTTTTTTTTTTTTTGCAGTTTCATTCATAAGCAGTGTGATATTTCACGGCAGTTCTTCGAAGACTAATCAGTTTTGGAAGCTGACCCCGTTTTCGCCTGTAGAGCAATACAAAATTGAGAGGAAGTGATAGTGGCTATGTTCCAATTCTTTACAGACGTCATCTATAAGCAAGGAACCTTGTGAGCTGAAGTCGCGGACGGCAGGCACGTTAGCAGATTTTTTTTTTTCCGGAGGGAGCACCACCTTGATTAAAACTGGGGACCGGGAAGGCAGCTGTGGGTGACCACTATTTTGTGCGCTATATACCATAAAAAAATTTCGGAGGAGGGGGAGGAGAAGCAAGGGCTTAGTGTGCCAACCCCTGGCTACGCCACTGGCGAATGGAAACCCGCCTGGTCGTGTAGACACAACGGGAAACGCCCGGGGAGGATGGTGGTGGCGCAGACTGCGGTAAAAGTTACCATGGCGGAAGATGTAAGCTTTAGCATAGACTGGAGCGGACATGTAATGATCGCAAAAAGAAGGTTTCGTTGAACGGGCTGGCTGAACACGCAGAAACAACTC